AACCCAGCAGCATAAGCTTGGCCAGAAGCCTCAAAGAATAGGAAGGTCATTAGCTGGCGCTGAAAATTAAATAGTTGACACAGAATCAATAATGGCTGGATATGAAGGGAATTCCATAATTGAGGGGTTTGAATTGAGAATATCTTCTCTTGAATGATGGCGTAGTGCACCTCCTTTGAACAAAGCCTCAGGCATTGTTGGTTAAGTTGCCATTTTAGCAATCCAGTACTACCTATAGCTTCTGTTGAAATCTCAAAGCCAACCCTATGTGGCCTTGAAATTAGCACTACATGACTTACAGTGAGAATTCTGTGCTTTTTTCTCCTAGCTTGTAACCCAATGTTGCAATAGAAGACTCACCTGGTAGCAAAAGCAATATCCCTTATGCCAGATCTTGGTATAAGAATTGGTGCAAGGTTCCATTAATGTAGCCTTACACTAAAGTAGAATTAGATAGATGATAGATGATAGATAGATAGATAGATAGATAGATAGATAGATAGACAGACAGACAGACAGACAGACAGACAGACAGACAGACAGACACATATTTGTCATTTTTTACCGTGGGCAGACAATTACACATTAAAATAATAAACATATAAATACATTTACATATATACATAAATCACTGTCCATCTTGAATATATATCGGAAAGAAGAAACTTGATTGATACTATATGGAACAAAACTGTGAATGAATCTGCATGTTCTGCTTCGGATACCACGAAGCCTCCTTCCAGAAAGTAACAAGGAAAAGAGGTTGTGAAGAGAATGTGTAGTGTCCCAGACAATGCTGCACACCCTGGTCAAGCATCGCTTATATGCTATGTCCCGGATAGACAGAAGTGAACTGCCAATGGATGGAAGTGAACTGCCAACTGTTCATCTTGTTGTGTTTTCTGTCTGGTCTACTTGGGAGGCTGCTAAGAACTACCACTAGTGGCCATAAGTTCCATAAGTACCATAAAAAAAGTCTATAGCTGAGCAAATGGCGGCCATGCACTGTCACTGATTGACCATATAGAATCCTTCTGTAATCTCACTCATTTATATCTGTTGAGTGCCTATAATCACACTGCTGTCTCTCATATTCTATTAATATTTGCTTTTCAGCATGGTGGGTTGCTCCCGGTTCGCACCGGTTCCCGCGAGCTGGTAGCGGTGACAATATGATGTCACCGAACCGGTTCTCCCCCCTGCCCCTCCTCCCCCCCGCGTTATTCTTACCCTTTATTTGGCCCCACTCCCAATCTATTGCTGCCTCCTGAGTCCCAGCTGATGGCTAGAGGGAAAAAAAACTGTTTAAACTCTTGCCACAGGGCTTCAAAGGGCTGCCCTACAGGTGATCAGTGTTAAAAGAAAACAAATGAGTAGCTATGCTAGGGAAAAAATGAAACTGAAAGTAAAGCAGGCTCTGCTGCAACATGACAAAATGAGGCAGGGAGAGATTTCTTTTTCTTTTTGCTCACCAAAAAAGGTAGGTGCAAACAATGGGAAATTTAGGGCAAAAGAGGAGAGTTCAAGATTTTAAAACACAAAAGAAAAAAAGCTCTATTTAACTAGGGAATTGTAATAATTGAGATACTATTCATTGTATATTGTGTTGAAAGCAGAAATGTTAAGTTGTGGTTTGGAGGAATATATGGGGGAAATTATTTGGTTTATTATTATTGGTAAATATAATTAATTGATTTGTAAGAAATTGGATTGCATGGAAATAATTGGAATATTCATGTTCATATTGATTAATATACAAAAAAGATAGTTATGTAACTAATTGATTTATATTAAAATGTTGAATTTGTATTAAACAACTGTAATATTACATAATTAACCAATGTGAGGATGGATATAAAAATAGATGACAATAGCAAGGGGTATAATATAGAATAGAAGGGAAAAATTGAATTTGATTAAGATTAGAGATGAGGATGAAGGATAATATTGGTTTTTTAAAAAAATAGATGAGGAATAAATATGGCAAAAAGAAAATATAGAAATTGTAAATTTAATTGAAATGACTAAACACTGTTTAAGTTTGTAAACCGGCCAAATACTCTGTTCAAAGAAAATACATTGTATGTTTGTATGTGTGTTTCTAATTATTGTCATTTATTCATATTTGTTCTCTTTTATTCTTTAAAGTTTAACAATTCATTCTTTATCTTAATATCTTTATATTTGTTTGGGGTTGCCTTTCTTCCCTATCATCTTTTTTATTGTACAGCAATCTTTCTCCTCAAACCTACCACCTCTCTCTTTTCTTTCCTTCTTACTTTCTCTTCCCCCCCCCTCTTCTTCTCCTCCCTACTTCCTCTTCCTTTCTCCTTCTCCTCCTCTCTTTCTTCCTCTCTTACCCTCACTCCTACTCTAATTTCCCTTCCCTTCCTTCCTCCCTTCTCTTCCTTCCCTCTCCTTCCTTCATCCCTCTCTATTGCTGTATCCTTTTGTGCATATGGATTACTCAGAGGGCTGAAAAAGTTATTTTTGACTGGTCCTTGCACTTTTGACCAGTCCTCAAACTTACGACTGTTCTCACATTTTATGTTTTTCACCCTATCTTGTCACCATGGTGAAGAGAAGCAGTTGTGAAATGAGTGACACGGTTGTTAAGAATGCTACAATGGGCATAAATGATGACCAGTCATAAGTGCGAGGACTGGTCAAAAGTGCGAAGACCTGTAAGAAATCACTTTTTTCAGCCCTCTGGGTAGTCCTTTTGTGCATATGGACTACTCAGAGGGCTGAAAAAATTATTTTTGACTGGTCCTCGCACTTTTGACCAGTCCTCGAACTTACGACTGTCCTCACATTTTACGTTTTTTGCCCTATCTTGTCACCATGGTGAAGAGAAGCAGTTGTGAAATGAGTGACATGGTTGTTAAGAATGCTGCACGGGCATAAATGTGAGGATGGTCATAAGTGTGAGGACCAGTCAAAAGTGCGAGGACCTGTCAGAAATGACTTTTTTCAGCCCTCTGATTAATCCCTATACACATAGCCATGGCCACCCGGTCACATGACCAGCTAGCCACGCCCACCCAGTCACATGACCTCCAAGCCACGCCCACAAAATAAGCCATGCCCACAGAACCGGTAGTAAAAAAATTTAGAACCCACCCCTGCTGTTCGGCCTTTTCATTCACTTTTAAGCATAGTTCATTTAATCACGATTGTTGTCATCAGCTGAAAACAGTTGAACTTGTCTTGGAAGATTTTATTCACTATTAACTCTGATTTTCCATTTTCTGTCTTTCTAGCACTGTTTAAAGTGTCACTCCATCCATCCATCTTGTCTTTTCACTTCAATTCAAAATGCTGAAGGCATCTAGTATCAATATATATATACGACAAAGCAATCTCTCAAATAACAAAAAGGCAATCAAACCATATAGCAAAGAAAGAAAAATGTGGATGAACATCAGTACAGGATTTGGGTGTGAGAAATGCTGTAAATTGTGGTTATAATTTTGTGGTGGCCATGCGGAAGACCGTTATTATTTTGGGGCGTTAAGTGGCATATTTTGATTTCTTCTTCATATTAAGAAATGTCTAGAAGTTTAGAGCTCATTCTATGCTAACCTGCTTGTTTTTCACTCTTGTTTACTGAATAAAAGAGAAGAGGGGGATGGTATCTTCATAATCTGTCAAAGTTTCAGACTTTTGATTCCCATCCTAGAATCAGGTGCCACCCAGTCAGGGTCAGATCTTGTAATCTAATTACCATGGAAGCAGGGCCATGAAGTCATGCTGCCAGGTTTTGATTAAAACCTTGGGGTTGTTGCTGTTGGGATCTCCTGCACAGATCTGAGCACTGAGGCATCTCTGTTGTCATTATTAAGGAGCTCTTAACAGCATATGGGACATGGTGGCTCAGCGGCTAAGACACTGAGCTTGTCGAGCGGCAGATCAGCAGTTCAAATCCCTAGTGCCGTGGAACAGAGTGAGCTCCTATTACTTATCCCAGTTTCTGCCAACCTAGCAGTTCGAAAGGAAAATAGGGACCACTTTGGTGGGAAGGTAACAGCGTTCCATGCCCCTTTGGTGTTTAGTCATGCTGCCCACATGACCACATCTTCAGAGAAGCACTGGCTCTTCGGCTTTGAAACGGAGATGAGCACTGCCCCCTAGAGTTGGGAATGACTAGCACATCTTTGCGAGGGGAACCTTTACTTTACCTTAATTCCTTTTTTACTCTTGATCATCAACTTTATCTTTACCTGAACAGCATATGAGAACTTTGGATATCATCTTGCTCGGTATGTATGCTTTTTACATTATGCTTTTAAATTTATTTATTTAAATGAATAGTAAAGCTTAAAATCTCTTGTTCACAGTTGTGCTTATTGCCTTTGAATCCAAAAACAAAACAAAACCCAGTGCCGGCATACCTGATCCCTCTTCTGACACTTGGCAAAACAAATGTTTCTGAACATCCCAGAAGGAGCTTTTTATTTTCTATTCCATGAGAGAAGATACAGAGCAACATGAACATGCGCCCAGATTCAATAAGGATCTTTTAATATTTAAAGCTTGAACCTCCCTCCCACCATCTGTTTATAGCAGTTTTTATCCATGGCCTTTGTGCAAAGTGGATTTAATTTTGTATTGCTTTTGAAAACTCAAGGTTTTCTTTTATTCACTGTCTGGCTTATGTCTGGAACAGCTACACTACAAAGAGAGAGACTGGAGCAGGGGTGAAATGCTACCAGTTCACTCCAGTTCGGGTAAACCGGTAGAGATAAAAAAAAAAGATACCGGTCTGGGTGAACTGGTAGTTAGCAGTTTAAAAAGTTAACGGTTCAGTCAAACTGGTAGTTAGCTACCAGTTCGGTCGAACTGGTACTTTAAAAAAGCTACTGGTTCCTCCGAATAGGTATTTCCGATGATCAGCTGTGCCGTGCGGTTTAGCTTTGCTAGAAAGCAGGAAATCCTACTTTCTAGCTAAGCTAAATCACATGGCACAGATGACCCCTCCCCCTTGCTGTTCTACTTACCTTCCCAAGCCACCTTTTGGTGCGTACTGCACATGTGTGCACGTCCACGCAGCACACATGCGTGGCCATCGAACCGGTAGCAAACCGGTTCAGATTTCACCACTGTAATGGAGCATATTCCTTTTCTAGGGATCTCTTCCTTTTCAGGATGCTAGGTGAAGAAGGATATGAAAAAGGATGATAGGTGTGATGGAGCAGATAAGGATTAGATACGATTATCATGTGATCTCCCTGACATATATCCTTTGTTTGGATATGATGAATTCTAGGGAATTAGTTGGTATACAAACAAATAAGATTTTTATGCATGCAGTTTTTCACAGAGAAGGGGAGGAAGCCAAAATAACTTAAGAAGCTGGCAGGTTGCAGTTGGAGAGGTAGAAATAATGAGGGCTGATAAAATAAGTGGGATTTTGACAATTTCAGACCGCTGAAGATATGCAGCTTTGGGTAGTTTTAAGAATACTAATCAGGGTTCCTGGTAGTTCATTATTGAAGATTATCAGTGGGGGATGCTTTGAAGGATTAGTTTTCCTGTGCATATTTTCATTAAAAAAAGAGGACGAAACAAGAAGATAAATGTTTTGCTAACCAAGAGACTCCCAGCTAAGTTTTATTTTAACATCTTGATTAACTCTAAGGGGAATGTAGTTATAGCTATACAAACAACATTATCTAAGGAAAGTTTCACTAGTATCCGAAGAACCATTATTTTGCAGACAGGGAAATAGTTAGCCATTGAATGCCAAAGCAATTAGAGTCTTAAAGCAGTTTAACTTGTTGCATACTGCAGATGCCACGATGTGGCAATCAGATAAGCTTCATGCTGCTCAAATCTAGCTGTAAAAGTTAAACTTTCAGAGAAGCTAATTATCATCCATCTTTAAAATGTCACGAGAAGATGGTTGAATGCTGTGTGTTTTATCTGTTTGATCCTGGGAATCCTTACATAGCCAATAGCTTTTATAAAAATGTAGATATATGTTGGTCACACCTGCTTTCTAACCTAACCACAGCCAGCTGCATCCTTCATGCAATTCCTTATATATTCCACAGAGATCAGTTCTAAAAATGCTGCACACTCCTACCTTCAATGGAATTCTTTCAAAATTCTGGGAAAGATGAGTTGTTCAGGTTTGCGCTCAATCATTACAAATACTCTTCGTCTGAAATAGTCTCCTGCTTGAGCAGGAGGTTGGACTAGAAGACCTCCAAGGTCCCTTCCAACTGTGTTATTCTGTTATTCTCTTGTTGGAATACATGTTAGAATATATTTTATATTGCAACAATTCAGGGGTGAAATTCACTTACCTTCCCTACTGGTTCGCAAATGTGCACACGCCATCATTAGCACATGCGCAAGGCCTTCTGTACATGTGCAGAGGCTTAAAATGTTGCAAAAAAGTGATGTAATGATGTCCATGCGGGTGGGAGGAGCTTCCCACAGCCGCCACTACCAGTTCACCCGAGCCGGATAGAACTGGCTGAATTTCACCCCTGCAACAACTGCAGCATTATTCAGCCAGTAGATTAGTGGTGAAATGTAAAATTTGTTACTACCGGTTCTGTGGGCGTGGCTTGGTGTGGGGGGGTAATGTGACTGAGTGGGCGTGGTCAACTTTTTTCTTTTTTTACTTTTAAAACCATTTTTTCTACAATCTTTTCGGGCAAAGAGGTTGTAAAAAATGCTTTTAAAAGGCTCTGCCGATCAGGCAACTCAGCTGGGATCGTCAGAGCCTTTTAAAAGTCATTTTTTCTACAACCTCTTTGGCGATCATCAGAGGGTTGTTTTTTTTTTACTTTTAAAAGCATTTTTTCAGCCGAAGAGGGGTTTTTGCTACCGGTTCTCTGAACTACCCACCACCATCGCTACTGGATCGGGCGATCCGGTCCAAACTGGGAGCATTTCACTCCTGCAGTAGATGGCATGTTTATTTTTCATTTTATGGTTATAATCTATGGTTCCTTTTATGTTCTGTGGAGAGTTTCCTGTGACAGTTGAAACCATTAAGTAGCTAGGCCCCTGGTGATTGTGTACACTGTACACTTTATTTGATTTTCATGGCTAATGTAACCATCCTCTGCTACCAATCTGTATGGCTATATACAGTACTAATCCTCTGCTTCCAATCATTTCTATAGAATGAAACAGAAATTTCTACCATATTTCTAAATAGCTTTCCTGTATAATATCTTCTTGCTCAATATCTTTAAACAGAAACGGGCTAAACTTTTGCTAGAAATTTTTTCGTAAGACTTCAGCTTAAACGTTTAAAACAACCCCATCTGATTCTACGAAAGAACGATTGTAGCCCAATTCAGAAGTTGATTTTTAAAAAACCACAATGCACTCCCTGAGTAGCGGAAATAAAGACCATCATCCCCAATCTTGCATCAGCAAAATCATCAGTGGATATAGCAGAGGTGCCTATAGGAGGAAAGTTGTCATAACTTCTAATCTTGAAAACAAGTTTGGTCTGGTAGTATTAGGGCACCAGACTATAAACCAAAAGATTGTGAGTTCTAGTTCTATCTTAGATATGGAAAGCCAACTGAGTGACTTTGGGCCAGTCATTGTCTCTTAGTCCAACTCATTCACAGGGCTGTTGTGGGAAAATTAGCAGGAGGAAATAGTTATTTTTTAAAAAAAAAAAACAATACCGCTGGGCAAACAATTTTTTCTCCTTCTTTTGTTAAGCTGCTTCTTGCTCTGTTTGAGCAAAGAGAACTTGCTTTTAAAATATATTCCGAAGAAGATCAATGTTCTTTCTTTGTTATGGCATTCCCAGTGTTTACTGTTGTGTGATTTATATAACTTTGCAATTGTTGATGGAATTACAGTATATAGCATTTTGTACTTATTTTCCCTCAGATTGTAACTTGGTTTGAATTTTATTGATTTTTTCCCCCCATAAGTCTTCCCATTGATCCATTGCTATTGCTTTTTAGAAAGTTTTGCCCCATTTATCATACAGGTTTTTTAGCTTAGTTTTTCTGTCTCTGTATCATATTTAAGTAGCAATTTGTAAATACGTACTAATACATTATCTTGATTCTTTATAAGTATTTCAAATGCTGTCATCTTCCTCAGCTTCTTTAAAAATACCTTTTATTTTCCGTTATTTGCAAATAATACATAGATATCATTACTGATTGAGGGATGCGGTGGCTCAGTGGCTAAGATGCTGAGCTTGTCGATCAAAAGATCGGCAGTTCAGCAGTTTGAATCCCTAGTGCCGAGTAATGGGGTGAGCTCCAGTTACTTGTCCCAGCTTCTGCCAACCTAGCAGTTCAAAAGCACATAAAAAATGCAAGTAGAAAATAGGGACCACCTTTGGTGGGAAGGTATCAGCGTTCCGTGCCCCTTTGGCATTTAGTCATGCCGGCCACATGACCATGGAGACGTCTTCGGACAGCGCTGACTCTTTGGCTTTGAAACGGAGATGAGCGCCGCCCCCTAGTGTCAGGAATGACTAGCACATATGTGCAAGGGAAACCTTTACCTTATCATTGCTGAATTAGACATCACTAGTGCAATTTCAGTGGAGGCTCATCCCATCAATTTGCTGCATAATAAGCAGTTTGTTCCTGTCCATCTTGAATGTAGGATGTACATTCAGTTATAATTTTAAATGTGCCAATAAGTAAAAGAAATAACAAATCTATGGAGAATATAGGTACTCTTGACTTATAACCATTCGTTTAGTGACCATTCAAAGTCACAATGGCACTGAAAAATGGACTTATGACCATTTTTCACATTTACAACTATTACAGCATCCCCATTGTCAAATGATCAAAATTTGGACAGTTGGCAACTGGTTCATATTTATGATGATTGCAGGATCCCAAGGTCATGTGATCACCTTTTGCAGCCTTCTGACAAGCAAAGTCAAAGGGGAAGCCAAATTCACTTAACAACCATGTTTCTAACTTAACTGCAGTGATTTGCTTAACAACTGTGACAAGGTTGTAAAGTGAAGCAAAATTCACTTAACTGTCTCACTTAGCAACAGAAATGTTGGGCTCAACTGTGGTCATAAGCTGAGGACTACCTATATTGATATCCATTCTATTCAACCAGAATAATTTTAATTACATTTCTATTTCCATTGCATGAAATTAAGAATTATTTTGTTCTGATCCCAACTACTTTTTTTTGCCTTTGTCTTTTTTCACTTTCCTGAAACCTGACCTCTGGTCTGACCATTTCAAGGTCAAGCATGGCCCTCAATCTAAATAACTCAATAAGCATATTAGAATTATTTTGCTGGATCAGGTTATATGCCTGATCAGACAGGTTATATGCCTGTCTGATCCAGCATTATGTGTCACATATTGGTCAACTGCCTGCATTTTACTTTTCCACTATTATTTTATTGTATTTTTATGGTATATGTCAGTGATGGCTAACCTTTTCTGGACCGAGTGGCCAAAGCACCTCAACCCCCAAAATGCAATGTGCGCAGCCACCCCCCTCACATGCCCTCCCACGCATGCGTGCACGGCCGCTGCACATGCACCCCGCCCCCTGCACATGCACAACAAAGACCTGAAGACCAGCTGGCTGGCGGGAGGCGTGCGCGCATGCGCAGAGGAGCTGAACTGGGGCAACGGCTCACATGTCATCAGAGAGAGCACTGTATGCCACCTCAGTTTGCCATCACGGGAATATGTTATAACCCCGTGATGGCGAACCTATGGCATGCATGCCACAGGTGGCACGCGGAGCCATATTAGTGGGCACGCCAGCTCAGCTCTGGGGCGCATGCGCGTGCCAGCCAGCTGATTTTCAGGCCTTCTGGGCCCACCAGAAGTAGGGAAACAGGCTGTTTCCTGCCTCCGGAGGGCCTCGGGGGTGGTGGGGAAGGCCGGGTTTTTTTTCTTACCTGGCTCCAGATCCTCTCTATGCATCTGGGAAAGGAGAAAACAGCCTTTCCCACTCCCTTGGAGGCCCTACGGAGGCTGAAAGGGCCCATTTCCCGACTCCCGGTGGGACAGGAAGTGATGTTTTTTTCCTGTCCCCAGCCTCCAGAGA